TCTTTGGTCTTGTCATATGAGTTGTACAATTGTTCCTTCGTATAATTACGGTAATAGCAATTATTGTGTAATGTAATGATAAAATGTATATGTATATTAAATAATAATGTTTCCATGATTTTTTTTTAATAAATTATTATAATAAATAAAGTTTCTATTGGATTGATTATTTAATAAATAAAAAAAAATTTAAAATTGAACGCGAAAAAAAATATTTGTTCCCTTCACAAAGTTAACTCTTAATAAAGTTTGAAATAATATTTATTTAATCTGAATATCACGGGATTTAATACAAGAAAATGTTTAAATTTTTTTTTTTTTGAAAATTATAGATGAAGGTACATTTTCAAAAAACTACAGCTTAATTAGTTATGTAGTGTGTTAAAATTTAATGAGTATTATTTATTTAAAAATATATTATTGTATGATTAAAAATTCAAATTGTAGATGTATTCACATTAAAATATTAAAAAACCAGACCTCTACATTAGATATATGAACATGATAGTAATGTTTATAGTATGTAGAAGGCAAAGCCTCGCGCTTGTATTTATAGCGATGCTTATAATCGTAGGCACGATGCTTGAATTTTTTATCGTAATGATAATCGACGTCGTATTTGTTGTAATATTTGTAGTATTTACTGTAATGATAATTTATACATTCATCTTCAGCTACAGGGGCGGAATTAGCTAAAGAAAAGTTTTTTTTAGAAAATATGGTAAAAAAAAAAGGGTTTTTTTTATTATTATTATTATAATTATTCATACTAATTACCTTCTTGAAAAGTAGTAGTTCCTAAAATAACTGATAATAAAATCAGTGTATTTAATTTCATTTTGAAAAGAATTATTTTTATTATTATTATTATTGATGATCTTTTAATTTAGATCGAAGTGAAAATTCTTCTTGGAGGTGAAGAGGAGGGTTTATATAACTTATTCACTTATGAAGTTCCTTTGAATGGAAATTTTCATTTCGAAACTTATCATGAATAATGTCTTTAGGTTAATTCATACTTATTCATACTATATAAATCATTGGACTGGAAAAAAAAAAAATTTCACCGATTTTTAAAAAATAGTTATTTTTTTTTTTTTCATAGTTATTCATACTTTACAAAAAAAAATTGTTTAATTAAATGGAGATCCTTTGCGAAAACCAAAAATATACACGACTAAGCCCACATTGTCATAGACTGGTTATGGATCATGATTGTATGGTCAAGATAATGATCAAAAATCAAATATATACAAAATCCAAATAAATACAAAATCTGGTATGAAATCATGAATTTCTTTACCAACACTTTTTTTTAATTCCCTTTTTTTTTTTTTTAGAAAAAAATTGATAGAATACACTTTATAAAAAAAAGAGTTAAAAAATCATATATTTCAAATTTACAATTCTAAAGCACACCTCTTCCTGTATTACTTTGATCTTTTCTTTCAGACCATTTTTTAAATATTTTTTCCAACATTTTTAAACTAACTGGTTTAGTCAAGAAGCCATCGACACCGCTCTCAAAAGCAATGTTTTTATCTTCTTCACTAGCTAAACCGGTTAAAGCAAATATTAAAGAACGAGAAGAATGAAATGTTGAGCGTTGTAAGGGGGAAGGTAATGGAGATAACTCTGCTTCAGTCATTTTAGATTCTAATAATGGCGGTGATAATTTAGAAGGATTAGATTTTTCATTAAATGAATTATAATTATAATGATGAGATAGTCGATCGGGATGTGAAATTCTTCTATATTTATTCTTTTGTTTTTGTGCGTTTGCACTTAAATTATTGTCTGTGCTTTGAAATGGTTTTGAAGGGTATCTATTATTGTTAATGAATGAAGAAAAACCTGAAATAGTAGAATCGTTGGTAGCAGGAAATTGAGAGAAAAGAGGGGGAGTCATCGAAGGGGTTGAAAAGTAATCTTCTTGTTCTGGCAATGGTGTCTTGGGATGTTCTGACAAAGGTGATAATTTTGGAAGTTGTTTTTGACTAATTTCATATTCAATTTTACGTATTTCGGCTGTTGCTACGTTACCATTCATGACGGGCATTTGTATATCTATTTTTTTTTAAAAGAACAAAATTAATAATTTTAAATTAATAAAATAATCTTTTTAAACAAATAAAACAAGCAAAAAAAAAGCTAATAATGTGTGAGATTTTATTACCCATAAGAACAATGTCAAATCCTTTTTGTTTAGAATTATCTTCATCCAACGCTCTTCTGAATTTTTCAACACCAATCGCACCGTTTTCAGCCTCTTCAAATTTAATATCGCGTTTGTTCAAAAACGTAGCTAAAATCATTCTATTAACAGCATTATCCTCGACCACCAAAACTCTTGGTCCGGAAATAGATAGCTTAGATAAAAATGACGTGTTGAGGGAATTATTGGACCGAGATTTTTTCAATTGATCTAAAGTAGTATCTTTCTCACTAGAAAATGTGCTTGGTAATGAGGATGATATTAAAGTCGTGTCTTCATTTGAAAAAGAAATAGGTGGTGATGTAGTCGATTTGGGAATTGTTAAGAATTTGGGCTCACAATTTGAAGGTGATTGTAAGTGAATGTTTGGTAATGTATTAGAGCGATTGAAAGAAGGTCGTGAAGGTAGTACATTTGAAAGCTGTGATGTCAGCTCAGTTGAATGATCATCAAATTTGATGATAACTTTTGGAGTTGTGGGAGGAGTAATCGAGGGAGATCGTTGTCTCGAAATTAATGTTTCTTCCGAAGAAGAATAATTAGTATGATATTTTAAATTATTATTATTTGAAGCTGTTTTCATGACCTGTCGCTGTGAATCATCATCCAAATGTTGTACTGAACTCAATTCTTCGGCACCGTTATCATCACGTTGTAAATTTGAGAAAATAGAAACCATGGTGTTTTCTATTTTATGAGGACCACAAGGTCGTGAAAGTATCACAACCTTTCGTTTCCTCCTTCCGCCTTTAAGATTTATTATATTTCCTCCTTCTTCATCCTGTAATTTCTCAACAAAATCAGCAACTTTACCGTGCTTAGCCAAGGAAGTGACAAACACCACAGGAGATAATTTGGGACCAACTTCAGACAATATTCTTTTTAGTTGAGCAAGATCATTATTAATAAATATAATATCACCATCAATATCACCACCATTTTCTTCAACAATAACATTTTTCACTTGAAACCAATCAGTAAAATATTTTTCTACCACTTCTTTAAGTTTACCCTTGGCGCATTTAATTACGATTGTTTTTTCCTTTATTGCCTCAAGAATAGTTCGTCGCTGCTCTTCTTCATCCCTAACGACATCATCATCATCATCATCATCATCATCACCACCATCTAAAGGTTCATAATTTAAACCACCTTTATAAGATAAACTTGAACCCTTTTCAATTTTTGATGGAAATTGTTCAAAATCCAACCAAATCCTAACCCTTGTACCAACTCCTACTTCGCTCTCGATATCTAATCTACCACCCATCTTCTCTACTAATAATTTAACAATAGATAGTCCTAATCCGGTTCCTACTTGTAGTGAATTTTCCTGAGAAAATGGTTGAAATATATTTGTCGTTAAAAATGATGGAGAAATACCACGTCCCGTATCCGTGATCGTTAATAATGCATGAAATTTTGATTGGAAATCCCTTTTATGATTCTTATATTGTTCACATAATGATGAACATGGTACTGTGGCTAATGATATTAGCACATAACCCTGTTGCGTAAATTTCAGTGAATTTCTATCAAAGACAAAAAAAAAAAAAAAAAATTAGAATAATTAACTTTTTTTGACATTAACGCATTATGAATGTACACTCACCCAACAATCTTTAAAGAGTAAGGTCAAAGATAAAAATAAAAACAATAATAAAAATTAGCATAATTAATTTTAAAAAAAATTTCAATGTGCGTTTAACAAAAGATGCTATAACTTACATTCATTAACATTTGTTTTATGGCTCCATCATCAGCACTAACGTACCAACCAACATCCCTAGGCTCAATCTCAAGCAAAACCATGACGTCTTCAATTTGTTCCAAGGAATCACTTTTATTTTGATGCTGAAATTGATGAGGGTGTAGTAATCTAGAAACATGTTTCCTTCTTGCCTGTGTTATAGCAGCGGTATTATGTTTCTCCTCCTTCTCTGTACGAAATAATTCATCGTTATCACCCTTATTAAGGGAATAATTATTACTACTGTAAACGGCAGCAACCATTTGTTGGCCTACTACGCAAGCTTCAGCAACTTCTTCCAACAACTTGACTAAATTAACGCGGTCCTTCTTCCTTTTGTTATTAATATTACGATCAATGATATTAATATCACGTTGACTTTCGTCCTCACCCAATATTTCACTCCCTTCTTCAGAAACTTTTTCTTGTAAAGGATCGTCATCAGCGAAGTCTTGTTTTTCACTCTCTAATTTAGCAAAGTCCAATACGCTATTAATAATACTAATTAAAGAAGTCCCACAACCGTGTATGGTTTTAATCAATTCCGATTGGGCATAATTTAATTTACTTTCTTCCAATAACTCACAACTTGCTAGAATACCATGAAGAGGGGTTCTTAATTCATGAGAAATAGAAGAGATGAATGTACCTTTTGCTCGATCGGCGACGATCACCCTTCTCTTTAACACTTCACTAACGACGTTCACACCAAAATTACTTAAATAAACTCGTTCTTCATCTTCAAATTGTCTCAGAGGATCTTTTGTCATTGCAATTAAGAAACCAAAAGCATTTTGTGAATCATCATAAATAGGTACCACAATACCAGAATGAACATCATCCGGAAATAAGGTCGGTAAAGGAGGTAAGGCGTTTTGATAAATATAACCTTGCGAATAATTTTGCATCATGTAAGAAAGGAAAGAAGTATTCACCGACGCTGTCAACGCCTCAGAAGACAATTCGATTGGACCAGCGGAAGCAAGGAACTTTAAATATCTTGTTGGCATATCAGGAGGAGGACCATTTAAAAAGAATCCATTTGATGAACAAGCAGTTGATATTATTGGACTAGAAGGCATCTCTAATAAACAAACGAAATCTATATTTAAAGTATCCCTCATTAATTTAACAGCCATGCTAAAACATCGCTTCATGATAGGGTCACCGACAATATTGGTGTTGGAACTTAATTTATTTTCTTCATTATTGGATAATTGAGTTTCCAAGCAAAATTTACTGAAATCGGCAATACTTTGTTGCATTTCATTCCTTACACGTAAACGTAAAGTATCAACCCATAATTCTAACTCCCTCATGACAACTTTTGCAAAGTCTTTCAAGATTTCACAATCCTTATTAGTGAAATCATGCCTTGGTTTATCATCGATTAAACATATCGTACCGATATTATGACCATCTTCAGTTTGTAATGGAGCACCAGCATAAAATCTTATGAACGGAGAACCTGTGACCAAAGGGTTTTTGTGAAATCTCCAATCTAATTTAGTATCAGGTACAACGAATGGTTCCCCATTCTCTTGTAATATAGCATGTCCACAAAAACTTATTTCTCTGGTCGTTCCATTACATCCTAATCCATCCTCTGCTTTAAACCATTGATGAGTGGTGTTTACAAGTGAGATTAGCGATATTGATACTTTAAAATGTTCTTTTGCTAATGCAACGATACGGGTAAAATTAACATCATTTGATGTGTTGAGTATTTGAAATTTCCACAACGCTCTCCTACGTCCAGCTTCATTTGGAGGCATAGGAGGAGGTAGGTAATAAATCTCGTCGTCATCATCATCATCATCAGAGCTGAATTCATTACTATGTACATATTGGTAATCATCTTCTCCCTCTCCTTTTCCTCCTCCTATCACTTCCTCACCTTCATTTCCACCTTCATTTTCACCTTCGTCATTATTTCTTTCCCCTACTCCTTTGACAAAAAAATTTCGAATATTCGTATCATGCTCATTAAACGAATATTCTTCCATGTGTTGAGCGTTACTATTTCTCCATTCATTATTATCAAAATCTTTATCACTTATAATATCTTTAACATTATCAGGGGTTATAGTTTTATCATTATTTTTTTCAATTTCGTTATCACTTTTTAATAAGGCTTCAGTTAAAGAATGATTTGTATCATCCAAATTACACTCTGTATTTAATGGACTAGTGTGAATGCTCATTTTTCTATAATGACTAACATTTTTATTTCTTCTATGAAGATTTAGTTTCGTTGGTTTCTTTGGTATAATTAAAGGATTAAAATTTCCTCGTGCATAAGAAAATAGGAAAATTTTCCAAACATTTGAATTATCTCGATCAAATTGTATATCAGAACCGGGTGATGAAGCTAATAATGATACAGTCGAAGATGAAGGTGTTGCTGGAATTGAAATCGGTGCAAGTGGTGTTGTTGTAGTTGGTGTTGGTAAGGAAAAATAATTTTTATGTTGAAGATCATCACCGTTCATGCGATTTAAATTTAATAGTAAGTCATCATGTAGGACTGCGGATGCTGCGGGATTGACCGCTAAGGAAGTTTTTAATGTTGATGAACCTGATTTGTATTGAAATGTTTGATAAGTTAATTCAATTCCATCATCAAATACATCATCATTTGTTGAATTTTTTTTTACATTTTTAATATCGATACTATTTATTTCAGTCATTGACTCGTCCTCTCGGACGAATGCTTGCCATTTTCCAACTTCATAATATTTGTCCGGATTTTCAATCAAGTTTAATGGTGAGAAGTACGATGAATTTAATGAATATGAAGAAGTAAGAGATGGACTTGATGAAGATGTTTTTATAATCATTTTTTATGAATTTCGATTATTTTTTTTGTTAGCAAAATATATAAATTCGATGTAAGCGGGAGTGGTCTTTTTTTTTTTTTTTTAGACGAAAACGTTATGATAAAATTTTTTAATTGTTTAATTTTTTGATAACAGAAAAAAAAGAAAAGATTGTTAAAAATTTATTCTTTTTATTAACAATTCGTAAATTTTTTTTAATTAGAGATGGGGATGAAAAAAAAAATAAAAATAAAAATAAAAAAATAAGTGGAGAAAAGTTAAAATTGTCAAATTATCACTATTTATACTTTACTCAGCACCCTCAAGTTTCAGCCGGTTAATAAATATGTTTGCTGCCAATTGATTTGTTTATTTGTAGTAAAGTGATGCAAAAAAAAAAAAAAAAAAAAAAATAAACAAGTTAAAATACATAATTTGAAAAAAAAATTTATTAAATACATAAATAAATAAAACGTCTATATAAATATAAATATATATATAAATGAATATAAATGTATTAATGTATATTGTATGTATAAAAGAAAATCTTTAGAATTGTATAATAAATACGTTCATGATCGATCCTTGTTCAAGGAAAAGATTTGGTTAACCCGTGAAAATATTTTGAATTCATACAAATGAATAACTAATTATTTGCATCAAAATCCAGGCGCACGCGTTGTTAAAAGGGAAAATAAAATAAAAGGTGATACACCTTAATTACTAAATTTAATGAATTTGTGTAAAATTAAAATAAGTATTACTAACCAAACTTATATATATGCGGAATAGAATTTAATATAGAGAGCTGGTTGTACGTGAATTACACGAATAGGTGACAAAGGAAAAATCATTGGAACCAATGAAATACCAACTTGAATGTTTTAAGTTTTACGATCTTTAACGGAAGATTTGAAAATAAATAAATAAATAAATAAATTAATATTTTTTTTAATTTGTTTAATTTTGTTTAGATTCATAAAATATTCCGTATGACCAGGAAAACAATTTCCCGATGTGCGGAGTTTTCCGATATGATATGGTAAATTAACTAATAACAATTCGTAATAGTCATTATGTTATACCAAATTCCTTTATAATCGACCCTGTTCGCGTTTTATCGGATTTGCATTTCAAGTTGCCATCAATTTTTATTACACGGTAGAATTACGGCAAAAATGTTTCTCTCACAAATTCTAAATACATGTGGTTTCCTGATATGTGTATTTTAGCGACAAAAAGAAAATAAAAAAATAACGGGATGAATCCATAGAATTCACTTGTAAAAGATTATAAATGTTATATGTATACACTTTTTCTTTTTATTTTATAGGTAAAAAGATAGGGAATCGTGGATTTGTTAAAAGGATCATGTTCAAACCACGCCAAGAGATAATCTCGACATCTTTTATTTTTATCGTAAATTTAAAAAGTTAGCTCCTTTCTAAATTTATAATGGATTTTTTTAATCCTTGGCAAATTGGTTGCTCAAAAAGAAAGAAATTTTCTTTTTCGGTAAGATCCTTTAATGCAACGTGAAAATTATTCGATGGATAATCAATGCGTCTATTGTCTGTAAGGTTAATCTTGGCCGGCATTATGAATTTTGCCAAATACCAACCACGTTACACGAAATTTATAATACCACGCTCGGGCCCCTATTACCCAAAGCTAAAATAGACTACAATTTCCTTTTGTTAAGTTAATCCCTCCATATGCGAACCATTTCATTCAATGATTTCTCTGATTTTTTTTTTTTTTTTTTTTTTTTGCAAAAATAATTTATCTGGTCCATGCAACGTACCGCGTCGATTATAATTAAGCATTTTGGTTTATTTTATTAGAAGGTCAATATTTAAGTTAATCATGCCTTTGATGCAAGAAAAATATATACAGTAAAAAGATAACAAAAGTACGACTTGATAATAGGAATTCGAACTTACAAAATTTTAATTATGTTGGACTAAACGCACGTTTAGCTGACATCGTTGGAATTGTATTATTTTTTGAACCATTAGTCACGTTGATCACTTTGGCCTCAATAGCGGGACATTACGTTGGAATGAATGATGTTAAGTTGGCAAATACTTATTATGTAGCTTGGAAAATTATATATCTTACAGTATTAGCACATCTATGATCAAAGAACATATTAAAGTATTAGAAGAACGTGAAGCTTTATCGAATATATCAAACGAGGTACCAGAAATGTAAGTATCAAAAATAAAAATAATTTTCTTTTTAAATTTTGATTTGATGAATTAATTTATTTAATTTTATTATTGGATTGGATATGTTACTGGGTTCAGTGTTGAAAGTACGGTCAACTCTCTATAAATGCACCCTCTATAAATGCACAACCTTTATAAATGCACCTTTTTATCTGGTCCCAACTTGGGCCTTAGTGCTAAATGCACGTTTTTTATATTGTATATACTCTCTGTAAATCCACTCTTTATAAAAAATTTATATAGTTTACTTATAAATTTTTTGTATTACCTTAATTTTAGATTAATATTATATAGATTTATATATATTCTATAAATGCACACCCTTTTAAATGCACCCTTATATCTAGTCCCAAGGGGAGTGCATTTATAGAGAGTTGACTATACTTTGATTTATCTGTAAGTGTTCATGTAAAAAAAAACAATGAGAATTTCATATCATAATTTAATTATTTTTATTATTATTTATAACAGTGTTATAAAGAATTTAAGGAAGCCATCAGGCTCTTCAAATAAATCAACATCATCATCTTCTTCACAATCTCAATTAAACTCGAAAACACTCATCAGTATGGAAAATCAAGCAATTAATAATACAAATAAGAAATTGAATATTACTGTCAACAAAGCTACTGCGACGGTTATTCATCGCACTTCTGAAATTACTGAAATTACTGTAGTCGAAGATAAAGAAATACATTGTAATTTTTTTTTTTTTTTTTTGCTATGGTAGAGTCATATTAATTAATGATTGACGTACGTAAATGATTAAAAAAGAATTGGGACATTAATAGATGTAATTAAAAATTATCTCGTAGTTAGACTTACAATAGATAATCCTTGAACCTTTGATTCAAATTTATAAATCATCGTCATCGTAAGGTGAAGAAATTTGTTTTTATTTAAAAAAAAAATGTGCCCAATATTTTTTGGGGGGTAATGATATCTATCCATTGATATATTGATAGCTATTTGTTTTCCAATTAAATTGTTTACATTTTCTGCTTGATTATTTGCCAAGGTAGTTTTATCTGATCTGCAAGAAAAAATCGTTTTTCTAGAGAAAGACGATATCCAAATCGAAAAAAAAAAAATTCATATAAACTTAAACATTTCCTACCAGTATTTATTTTTTTTAAAAAAAATGAACTTTATAACGATTTAATGAATACACTTTGAAAAATCTGGGACTAGCCGAAATTTTATTGAACGTAACCTTTCTTCATTTGTTAACGAGAAAAAACCTGTAATGTAATATAAATTTAGATTATATATACGGCATCAAATCATAAAAATCTGCAAGAATTAAGAATTAATGAAAAAAAATTTTGTATCATGACTATCTGATACTTCAATATCTTATACTGACGTAACTTACTCCTTTCTGTGCATTTATCAGCATACCAAGCAACTAAGAATCTTGGAAATTTCGTCAGACATATTAATAATTTTAGTTACTTAAAAATATCTAGAAAATAAAAGGAATTTATAGGTTGACTTTTAATATTGTTTCTTCCATTTTTCTAGAATTGATTTCACAAAATCATTAGCTCGGCAATTTTAAAAAATATAGCATGTATAAATTTATCGTCACTGGCCCCCTTGAAAACACGGCTTCTGCGGGAGATAATCTAACTATTTTAATAAAAAATTTAGCCGAAGGCGCTGTGCATGTAATTAAGGCAAGGAAATAATGGAAAGCTTTTTTCCCGAAAAAATTTATTTTTGAGGGTAGATCAGACATTTTATAAATACAAAGTTGATTAGCATAGCTAACCGGATATACGATCACATTTTTCGCGATACAGATTTAATTCAATCTTATCCATAAGAACATCACCTAAAATTGGTGATTGATGTTTGATAGATTCTGAAATTTCCATCAACAACAATAGAAGCTAGTCAACCAGCAATGCTTCCTTTGGTTAAACCAGTCGTGCGCCCAACTTTAAATACGAGCTCTGAAGGAATAATTGAACTAAAAAATAGATGATGTTACTTGAATTATTTTTCTTTTCTACAAAAACTCCTAAAGTTCCAACTCGAGTATTGCAAGAAGTAATTCAATACTACAACCAGGAGGAACACCTGACTTATACTCTCGGCAACACAATGTATCTTGAATTCCACATGGATTATAAAAACCCTCACGCACGTCCGTTTATATACCACAAATGCTCCGAGGAAAAATTTCACTACTACACCTTTACGGATAACGTAGAAAACAATAGCTCTAGATATTTTCCAGCCTAACCTGATAGAATTAAGGTTCCTGTGCTCTGTACTAAATTCGATTCCAAGAGTCGAGTCTAAAAGATCATCAAATTTTTTCTTAATATCCAACGGAGTGTCTTTGATGGAGGGAGATTTCCTGGAACTTTTTCTGTGAAACTTCCCAATTTGCATACAGTTTTTCGACATTAATTTCTGGAAATTCTTTACCAAAGAAAACATCGCCGTACATTAGCAGTTCTTTTTTGATCAGCATTATAGGTCTTGAAAATCCTAATTTTTCGCAAAAATCTTTCCAAGCTAGGCCTTTAACCTTCAATTTCTTATATTGATTTCCACTTGGTCTTTGACTTGTATCTGTTACTTTTCGTTATAAACTCGGCAAAAGATTTACATTCAGGGTTATCATGATCAACAATTTTCAGACGTAACCTCTTTTTAATAGTTTTAAATACTCCATCATAGATCTTAACATAAATGGACAATGTTTGATCTCACCTTTTTATGATATAAAAATGTAGATCAGTAGAAACCCATAAACGATTTTTTTTTTTTTCCAACCAAGCAAATTTAATTTGTTCGACATAAATGAAAACAAAATATATTATATATCATATATTACAAGAGAACGAATGAAATCGTAACAGATAAACAAACAAAACGGTGTGATGATGCAACTTTTATTACACAATAAGCAATTCACCAGATTAGACCAATCAGAGATTTTCAATTACATTGGTATTTCATTATTATAAAAAGCGGTTATCCATTCTTGTACTTGATTTAGGGAACTGAGATTTATTTTTTAAAATGAATCTTTACCATTCTCTTAAACACAATTTTTAAACAATTTCACACTTGAAGGAACGTGATGTACTCTCAATTTTTAAAGTCGCTAGTAAAGAGATTTTACGATGTACTTGTCAATAATGCGGGTAATTTTGACGATTCAATTGAAAATGATTTAAAGGATTTGCTTAGTGAAGAAAGTAAAAATACCAAAGGAATTCTTGAATTTATGCAAAATCATGAAAATCGTGAAATTTGGTTTTCAAGTATCATTGGTTTTTTTTATCAATACGGAATAGGATGTGAAATTGATAAGGATAAATCCTTGGAATTGTATGTATTAGCAATTAAACGAGATGAATTTCAATACATTAATAATATTATCGCAAAGTATTTGTTAGCATTATTTTATTACAAAGTTATCGATTTAGATAAAAGATCCTCAAACGATTGGAATCTTTTACGCACAGCACAATTAATAGATGATTATATAGACACACAAAGACATTCCGAAAATCTCAAAGAATTAAAAGGAATCATAATTAATAGTTTAGAATTCATCAAATTAAAAGGAAAAGATATAAAAGAGTCTCATGAACAAACATTAAATGTTGATGACCCAGAAGCATTACGTGACTTTGGGTTGAAATATCAGTATGAGACAGGAGTGAACAAAAATGAGAAGAGAGCGTTTGAATATTATTTGAAGTCTGCTAAAGGGGGAAATTCGAATTCTCAGTTCAATTTAGGAGAAAGTTATTATTATGGTATAGGAACGGATAAAGATGAAAAGAAAGCATTTGAAAGTTATTTAAAATCTGCCAAAGGAGAAAATTCAGATGCGCAATATCAATTAGGCCATTTTTATGAATATGGGATTGCAACCATTAAAAATGAGGTTCAATCATTAGATTGGTATTTAAGATCTGCTAGAGGAGGGAATTCCATTGCACAATATAAGTTGGGATATTTTTATGAATGTGGGATCGGGTTAATTAAAAATGATATACAATCATTTCAATGGTACTTGAAATCCGCGGAAGGGGGTAATATCTATGCACAATACAGATTAGGTTACTTTTATCAATATGGCATTGCAACGATTCAAAATGAAGTTCAATCATTTGAGTGGTATATGAAATCCGCGGAAGGTGGTAATCCTATCGCACAATATCAATTGGGATATCGTTATCAATATGGTATCGGAACGGTTATGAGTAAAATTTTATCATTTGAATGGTATTTGAAATCTGCGAAGGGCGGAAATATTATCGCACAATTCCAACTAGGAAATTATTATAAATACGGTATCGGGACGAGTAAAAACGAAAAGAAAGCTTTTAAATGGTATTTGAAATCTGCTAATTGGCATTCTGGATCACAAAATTCTTTAGGAGATTACTATGCAAAAGGGATAGTAACGGCTAAAGATGAAGAGAAAGCATTTGAATATTATTTAAAATCTGCAAATGATGACAATTATCAGGGACAATATAATGTGGGAAAATGTTATCAATTTGGCATTGGAATTAAAATGGACATTGAAGAAGCTATTAATTGGTATAAAAAGGCTTCAAAGTATGGTTCATTAGATGCAAAGAATACTTTAAATAGTAGTCAACAAATTTACCAACATGTAATTACTAAAATCAAATCTATGCGTAATAAATAAAAATATATAGAAAAATTAGAATCGTAATTCAGACTCTGTTAAAATAGATGATTTGATTTTTAGTTTCGTAATATGATTATTTGTCAAAATTGTAAAATAAAAAAAAATCTGGACACGCGTGTCTACTTGGCGCAGTAATGTAGCGCAGTAAACTTAAAATTCCAGCGATGACACGATCAACATTACTAAAACTTAAAATAGACCTCGCAGGAAAAGATTTATTTCGATTTACCAATACTATTTATTAAACAACTTATAGACTTTTGTAAAGCATCAACAGTATATTTTTGAAATATTTGATAAAGTCAAACTTTATCCATCGCATAATGTAGATAATGCAAATATAAAAAAAAAAAAATGTGATAAGAATGTTGTTTACTGTATAGCACGAAAAAATTAACAAAGTTTCCTAACTAATTATTTTAAACTTGATGTTCTTTTTGCTTAAAACCTTGGTCCATTATTCTCTGTCTTTTAGAATAGGATTAATTTGGACTTTTAGCCCATTGCTCAACATTACGAAGGGTAGAATTCTTTGTCTTGACTGGGAGGTCTTTTTGAGAATCTTTATCTCGAGTCGTGTATTGCTGGTGTTTGAATTTGTCGTATATTTCATCTGGTACTGCAAAGTAAAGTTGGAGCTTTGTATTTTTATCATTTATATAGATCGGCATCTCATTAATTATTTTGACCAGCTCAGCCTGTTTTATAGGGTGATTTTCAGACACCGTGACTTGTAAAATACTACGAGGCGTTACAAATAGGTCCGCTGCACCGAAATTTTGCTTATCTGGCACGATTACTGTATTTTCTTCAGGATACTTTAAGAGGTCAGATACAATGTTTATATGCCCAACTTTTGGCTCTCCATGAATGAAAAATTGATCTCCGCCTTCACCTTTCAGCTTCCTTATTTAGAATTTCTGGTTTCCAATACGAAATAGGTGTATAACATAACACTCAAACAAAAATCCTCTAGCACTTGCCAAATAAGGATCCCGCATATGTCGTATTTTATGTAAGCAATCGACCCATGACGTCTCCTCTAGTTTTTTCTGAATTTTCTCTAACACATAAGGAGAGGCTCATCTGTAGTGATATTCGCAATGTGTATCTTCTGGCCATCTGTGGATAATTCGATTGCTAATTTCGATGGGATTTTGTTCATTTTCAGTAAAACATTTTTATAATTTTATCAAAGTTATCGATCTCTAAAATGGCTAATTCAATACGTTTACAAGCCTGTTTCTCAATTTTTTCCTTTTCTTCAGCGTCCGGTCTTCCTTCTTTTAAAATATTATTTCCAACAAGATTTCTAATTGATACCTCAGCATTCTGGAGAACGTATCTAGGTATTCCACCTGCTTTGTAGTAAAGATTAATTACTATATCTTTTGGTACCAATGGAAAAACACGTTGCTGACAAGATAATATTTCTTCTAATTACCACGGACCCATAAAATATTCAATTGGATGACGCTTCTCATATTCTTGAAAGTCTTTTGTTGCAATTCCATTTGGTGATAAGGGGACAACCGTTATTGCGTGCACTAATTTTGGGGATGTGATACCATCTGCAAGGTACCAAGTTGTGGTTGAATTGAGTAAAAATGAGAAATCACGATAGGTCCACAGGTTATTGTTAGATCCTTGAAACAAAAGAAATATTGATTGTCGAGAGGTTGAAAAATTACAATGACACCTTCGCATAAAAGTTGCATTAAGATGTAAATTAAGAAACACGATTTTCCGATACCCGACGTACCGGTGATAAGAAATCTCTTTACACCGCAAACTGATTTCTTTTTCAATTGATCATTAAAATATTTGTATGATTTTCTCACAAAAAGTGACTTTTTTTTAAATCACTGCAAGGCCTTCATTGTGTTCAATAAAACTAATTTTTTGTTGGTCTCGTTGCATTTCAGTAAGTTGGTCCTTCTGGCTCTTTGCTACATTACAAATGTTCACAAACAACGGGTCTGATAAGTGATGTAAACAATTTGAAAGTCATTAGTTACGGGATACTGAGACTCAATTTACACTTTGCAAGAGCTTACCCAATTTTTGCTTCTTGTCAAATTCATTTGACTCGGTGGATTTGCTTCACTGCACAAAAAAAAAAAATCTGCGTTAGTTAATCATCATCTATTGGAATCCTCCCAAATAGGATATCAGCTTACCTTGATGTTCATCTAAATTGGGTTAGATTATTGAAAAAGTTAGTAGCGTCACAACGACAAATATTTATCTATTATGATTCACATAATAAAGATCAAAAAAAGGTTTTAACTTTACCTAACAGAAGTGTATTAAGGGAAGCCTTAATTACTTCATCATTTCCTTCGAAATATTCAAGTCGGTTCTTCATATCCATCCTTAGAAGTTGACCTTTGATTGTACCACGCGTCTTGTTGTCAGTGAAAAGGTTTCCTAATTTCGACTTTGCGTTCTTCCACTCGTTATCCATTATCTGTTATTATTAAAAGTAAAAAAATTTTTTCTGGAGATTGTTTCAAGAAGTAAATATGAAAGTCGATTTTCTGGAGAGAGAGTTTTATATTAGACTTATTGACTATATATATATGATACGGAATAGACTTTTATTAAACTGCGTTGTAATTCCGATTATCATCAATACATTTATTTTTGACTTAACAATATACACGAATTAAATAATATATAATTTTTTTCCGATGCCACATAAACTTTATTAATAATTTCATATTCAGAAGTGGAAAATATTAGAGAAGCGAATGAAATGTATGATGCTATTAAAGAAGTACGCGGATCCTAGCACCAAGTTATACCTTTGCTCCGTAAATCACTATAGCTAATGGAATTATTTTCTCTATCTTCTTTGCTTGAGCATCAGTCACGTGACATTCGAAGTTTATACATTGCAAAACTCGACAATAGAAAAATTTAACTCTGCGTTTTGATTGATCCAACCAGAAAATACAAGTCCATGATTTATAGGTTTTACAATTAAAAATTGCCATTGATTATTATTCGCAACATTTATAGTTGTACCTTGTTTTGTGAAACGTTATTCTATTCGCCAAATTTTTTTTTTTTTTTCATGTTGAATAAAAATTTTTTTACCTTCCTTTTTTAATATAATTACATCCCTATAAACATCTTAATGATTCACGTGCTTTGCTCGTGAGTTCTGCATGTCTTTAAGGGACAAATTTGTCAAAGTTGGTTGTTGTATCACACAAATGCGAGATATGGTTTGTCGATCTTTTTTGAATATGATATAAAGGTTCAAAAAATCAATTTTCTGTGCATAAATTAAAATTTTCTTCAATAAACGTAAATATGGCGAATGAATTGAAAAGATTATTTTTGAAGGTGATGTTTGCAATGTTTTCCATACTACTTTTAGTAGGATTTTATGGATTTATCAAGGAAAACAGATACATTTATTGGGGTGTGATAATTTCATCCATATTAATACTTTTGTCAGGGATTACGGCAATCTTTTGGATAAAACTTTGTAAATTTTGTGCACCAATATTTATAAGAACGTTAATTAAAGTTAGTAATAATTTATCACCGATAGTGAATTATTTAAATAATACGAGAATCATAGGACCGATACTCTCATGGTGTGTTAAAGTAACATTCTTCTTTTGGTTTATTGTCTTATTGTTGGGAGATGCGTTAATTAGAGTCATCTTATCGAGAGCAACGGGAATTCATAAAGAGTCAGGATTTCATTATAGCCCTGTTAATGCTTCCGATATAAACTTTCAACCTTTAGGATTATTTGAGAATGGTGAAGAATTAGGAATGAATAAAAGATTGTACGGTGATTTTTTTCCACATTATAACAAGAAATTGGCATTATCCTTGGCCATGGCATCTAAATTGGCTTATGAAGATGTTCCGATTATCCAATCTGAATTAGAAAAGTCTGGTTATGATATGAATTCATTTAAACCTATAGCTTATAGAAATGTTTGTGGATATATAGCAGAGAAAGATGATAATATTATCTTAGTATTTAGAGGTTCCAATCCATTAAATATTCAAAATTGTTTAACTGATATAAGGGCTCTCCTTTGTAAAATTGAATCATCCACTCGAGGTCCAATGGGTTTGGTACATGAAGGATTCTATGAAGCATTGGGGGAGGATTTAAATGAATCACCTCCTGAATCACAAGCCACCATAGAATTATCAAACGCTTCCTTGGTTAAAACTTTTGAAACCATATTTGGCGCGTTGAAGACGGTGATGTTTTTTGCTCTTCAAAGTATGGTCACTCATATACATGATCCTGTAGATCATAGATATCTCGGCGAAGATGCGAGATTTATTAGCGCATATAGTCAAGCTACAAGATGGATAACCAAGTTATGTAAGGAAGCCGAAGAGGATAATGAGCAAGAAAAAAATAATGATCCCGGAAACGAAAGGTCAAATGATGTTAGACAAAGAAAATCGAAAAAATGCTTGTACATCACAGGACATAGTTTGGGTGGTGGTTTAGCAACTGTATTCTTGGCCAAATTATTTCAACATAATAGTCCTTTGCTTAATAATTTTTCTGGTATATATACATATGGTCAACCAAATATAGGAGATAACGATTTCGCGAAAATTTTTGGTCCTGAGATCGGAAAGAAAATGTTTCATCACGCTTATAACAATGGTATTTATTATATTGAAATGTTTATTATTTTTAGGAATAAATTAATAACCTTTACCTCTTTTATTTTTATTTTATTTTTATTTTATAACAGATGTGGTTACTAGAGTTCCTATGTGGGCTCCTTATTCCAATCCACCCGGGAATCTAGTGTACATGGATGCTTCATTTTCTATATACATATACCCTCCTGATCCTGTTACAAATCTTCCTATTCCCGTACGTAAAATTTCTTACTTACACCTTTCTGGTATTCTAAATCTTAACGTAATAAGAAGAATGAAAAATGAAAGTTGGCTGAGAATTTTCTTAAGAATCATGTAAGTTAAAAGAAAAAAAGGACACTTTGTTGAAATTTTAAATAAATTTATGAATTAATTTATTTTAAATTTGTACACATCCAGGTTCCCGTTTTTTATTAATGATCATTTCCCTGGGGATTACGCTCGCGCTATACGTGAAGGTACTATAGAAAGAGTTATTGTTGGTTTACCAGGTCAAGTTGGTGGTTTCGAAAAGGTATAATCTTATCAATACATGAGATGGGATTTGGACCTTTCATTCTTTTATTTAACAAAAATAATTAGTCACAAAATGTGTTAACAATTTTTCATAATAAACTCACTCCACGCATTTAATTTATTTTTAAACATTTTAAAATTTAATTGTAACCCAAGGAATGTTAAAACGTAAAATATTTCGGCGATTTTTATTTTTATTTTTATTTTTTTTCTAATGTACCTTGTAAAAAATTTGATTTCTGACTAATGCAATTATTAAGAACGGTAAAATTTCGCGTATATATTCGGCAAAATCATTTTTTTAGAACGAATTTCTCCGGGAACTGTTTTCTATCAAAAAAAAATTCTAACTTTGTATTTCTAATTAAAGCCCAATGCTAAATCAGCATTGATATTATTAAATTATTTCTTAATCATCGAAATGATTAAAGTTTAATATATTTAACTTACAAATTCCCTCATTATTTATGAAACAAAAATAAAATAAAAAATGTAAAGGTTTGGCGTAACCAGTTAGCTGCGCTAAAATAAGACGTGAAAACGTAATTTATCGGTCACATGTCTTTTTAGGGCTAAAACAAATCCATCACTACTGAAATTTCCCCGTTATCAATATAAGGAGGACGAAATTCTATATTTACAATAACTACCTTATGGGTTGAAATGACCTTAAATTACCTCAATAACCTCAAATGACATCATTTTTAAGTCAAAGGTCACTAAAATTTACTTTGGCATCACTGAAGTATCACGTAATAATTATTCAATAATGTAAGTTTATAAATCATAAATTGTTATTAGATTTCATGACTTTAATTTACATTAGGGATTTTTCTAATGTGTTTAGTAAAAGGCTTCACAATTAATCAATAAGGTCATTGCAGATTCAAATACAAGCAAGAAAAAAAGAAAAGAGAGAAAAACAATAGTATTTTTAATTATAATAATACGGGATACTGGAGAAATACAATTGACGTTAGCGTGGATTCTGATTAATTTTCTTCT